TTTTTTTTTTTTTTTTTTTACATTTAAGTTCATAATCCATTTTGAGTTAATCAAGGTTCAGGTCGAGGTGGTTTAATTTTTGTTTTTTGTTTTTGCCTGTGGATATGCTCAGTTGCTCTAGCAACGTTTTTTGGAAAGGAATGATTTTTTTTTTTTTAAACTTTATAATGTGACCTTTTTTTAGTTTAAAGGTTTTTTAAAAAAATTTGACCATTGGGGTTTTAAGATCACAACCCTTGTTTTGTTTGCATTTGCCTGCTATACCTTTGTCTATGGTTTTATTTTCAACCTTAAAAGACTCTTAGTTTTAGATGCATCCATTTACATTATAGAGTTGGGTTTTGTCTGATGATACAGTGTGGAGGTCTTTTTCTTTTACCTTAGTGAGTTTAGCCCACTTAATATTTGTTGATATGAAAGAAGTTGGTCTGTTTTGAAACCATGTTTTTTTTGGCTTTTGGTTTTTATAATTAATTAAAACCTTTCACTATGTGATACATTTACTTTGGGTCAGTTATTTATAGGTTGTGTTGGTATGAAGGCATATCTTCCTGTGTTCCAGGCTAACTAGAATTTTCCTTATGATTCAGGATTTTGTGTGTGAATTTGTTTAGCTGTTATCTTTTCCCAGCCAGTGGGGCTAGGCAATTGTATTTCTTTCACAATACAAAACTTCCCCCCAACCCCCTTGCCATAGGAACAGAACATTCTTTGTAAATAGTGCACTTCTGAATAATTTCTTTTTAATTTCTGCCTTCTCTCTTTTTTTATTGGAACCAAACTGAGGAGCTTCTGCCTGTAGCTGTGCATCTTGTTCTCATTGTTACAAACGTGGGTTTTAAGTGTTACACTTGGAAAAGTTTACCTTGTTACCTCTTTGTGAAATAGGCAGTTTTCTTGTTTTGCTTCCACTTTTTGGAGCCCCTGTGTAATAATCTCCATTGCTTTTGAGAGTGCCTCCACATAATCTGATGGTTGAGTTTTAGTTATATCTCTGTTTTACCAGAGAAGGAGTTTGCATTTTTATTTTTGTTCTCCTTGTTTGGATTATTTTTAAGAAGAGAAGGGGGAAGTGGAGCTTATGCCACTATTCTCTAACTAGAGGTTAATAATAGTATCCTTAATATCTTCAATATCTTCACAAAGTATGTTGCTATATTTTAGTAAGTTATTTTTAATTATTGGGAGAGCAAAATCTTTGTTGGGATAACTAAAACAGAGTCCTGAAGTACTTTAGTTATTTTTCTAAATTTTATTTAAAAATAGAAAAGGGCTAGGCATGATGTTTTATGCCTATAATCCCAGCACTTTGGGAGGCTGAGGCAGGAGGATCACTTGAGGCCAGGAGTTCAAGACCAGTCTGGGCAACATGGTGAGATCCTGTCTCTACAAAAATAACAAAAAATACCGAAGAACTTCATTTAATTTAGCCCTAAAGAATAATAAATTCTATGTGTTTTACCTTTTCAAGTCTTGAAGACTTGACATATGGAAATGTCTGTTGTTTGATAGCTCATGTTATCCAGGAAGAATTCTGATAAAAACCAGAGGAAGAGTTTATTGTCCACAGAGAGGATTTAGTGAGTTTTATTTTGAAGACAGTATATTTCAATTTTTGTAGTATTCACACTGACAATTATATATGCTTTTTGAAAAGTATCTACTCATTTAAGAAAATTTCCTACAGAATTCTAGCCACTATCTCTGCAATTCCATCTTTTTTTCCACCTGTTTTCTTTCTCTGAATGCTTTTTAAAAGTCTTCTCTTCCAGCCTGCTACTATTTCAGTGGGTTTGCACTGGAGAAGTGATATGAGACTTTTCTATTATTGTGGGATCCTTGAGGGTTACGGGCATTATGCTTAACCTATATTCTCTTATCTCTCTTCTCTTGGTAAGGACAAAGCCTGGTGTTTTTTGTACTTTTAGGTAATTAATCTGGTGCTAGTTATTTGGTGTTTTCATGTCACAAAAATAAGTCATCACAATATTTAAAAAAATGTATTATCTATTCCTGTGTAACAAATTGCCCGAAAACTTAGTAGCTTAAAACAACAAATGTTTATTATGTCTCAGCTCTTGAGGATCAGGAATGTTAAAAGCAGTTTAGCTGGGTAGTTCTGTCTCAGGATTTTTTGTTCTTAGGTAAATTGCAGTTAAGCTGTTGGTAGGGGCCACAGTCATCTCAAGGCTTAACTAAATCCACCCAATCACTGTAGATAAAGTCATTGCAGATCTTTACTCCCTCTGCTGTTATCAGATCTCCAGCTCACTGCTAGACATAGAAATCGACTGCTATTTCTTTTTGCTATCATCAGCAATGGCATTTTCAATCCCCCTGACTTTCTTCATTCTGTTCTTGTGTTCCTTTTGCTTTTCCCTTGAGGTCTTTTTCTTTCCATATAGGCTATTTTTTGGCAAGCTTATGCTTAGTTTCCTTTTTCTTTGTATAATCCAGGAATTTATAAATCATGCCAAAGCTAATTGTCTTGCCATCACCAAAATGGGTTCTGAATTCAAATCCCAAGATATCTGGTGTGGTCTTACTCACGTTGGCTGATTTTTCCCTAATCTACTTCTGAATTCACACAGGCAGCTATTAGCAGGTATCAGTTCTTTGCTGAGTGTTTACCACAGCTCTTTCTTCCTCACTGCGTGGACCTTTTCCTTGACTTCTTTGACTGTTCTCATATCATGACAGCTGTCTTCTCACAGAGCAAGTAATCCAGGAGAGAGAAAGACAAGTGAAAGAGTAGGCCCAAAATGGAAGCTGCAGTCCTTTATAACTTAATCTTGAAGTGATACACTATCACTTCTGCCATGCTGTTGGTCGCACAGACCAACATTGGTGAGAGAGGACTACACAATGGTGTGAATACCAAAGGACAGGGATCACTGGTGACTACTTGCAGGTTGACTCCCCAAAATAGCAATCTGTATTTCAGAGTGAAGAACTAATTTTCATACTTATATTCTGAAGGTATTTCCAGTAAATCGATTTTTTTTAAAAAACAATTTTTGTTTTTAAAAAAATAATCGATTTTTTTTTTTTACAAGAGATACAATGTATGTTTTAAGATGATGAATAATGTTTATATACTTCTTTCTTTTTTTTCCTTTTTTTTTTTGAGGCAGTCTTGCTCTGCCGCCCAGGCTGGAGTGCAGTGGCATGATCTTGGCTCACTGCAACCTCTGCTTCCTGGGTTCAAGTGATTCTCCTGCCTCAGCCTCCCAAGTAACTGGAACTACAGGCATGTGCCATCACGCCTGGCTAGTTTTTGTATGTTCAGTAGAGATGGGTTTTCACCATTTGGCCAGGCTGGTCTCAAACTCCTGACCTCAGGAGATCCACCTGCCTCAGCCTCCCAAAGTGCTGGGATTATAGGCATGAGCCACTGTGCCCAGCCTTATGTACTTATTTCTGCCAGGTTCTATGGAGAAGAGGTATTTTGCTACGTTTACATTGAATTTAGGAGATGACCCTGACAAGTTTGTGATGAGGATTATTCATTTAGTTTCTTTTAATTCTTTCAATTCATTTGATGTCTTACTAATGCAAGGCCTAAAGAATTATCCTTATAAAATCTTTGGAAGGAGATATTTAGCTAATTTTACTTATGAAGTATTTATTTGAAGGTAAGGTTTTTGTTTATTTTTCCCCCAGCTAGCTTAATCTCTTAGAGTAGAGACTGTCCCTCTATTGTTAAATAATAGGGAAGGAGTAGCAACTTATATGTGTGTAATGCTCTTACATTTGTAAAAGCATTTTTCCTTAATGTGTGGGAATAGACAAATTAAGTTTTTGGAATTGATGCTTATTTAGTAAGGGATTCTAATATTCTCAGTCTTTTGAGGGGTGCATAGATTCCTTTCAGACTGATGAAAGCAATGATCTTTCCAGAGAAATGCACTTATGCACACAGAGGTAATTTTGCAATTTGAGGGGATAATCAGAAGGTCTGTGGACTTTAGGTTGAGAACTCCTCCTTTGAAAGCACAGGTTCTGATGTTCTCTGGCAGAAATTAAATGCTTTTTAATTTTCTATATATAAAGGGAAACAATGTACCTAACTCTAATTGGAAATACATGTTTTCATTTTACATGGCTTCTCATTTGCTTTTTCTAATGATGTTTTTTGTTTTGGAATTTTGCTTCCCCTTTAGCATCTGGAGCATAAGAACAGTACTTATTTTCTTCTTTTCCAAGAGAACAGAAAGAAATAGTAAGTTTAATTCTAATTTTTAATAAATGTTTTAAAAATACCTATCTTAGAGTGTGCTGGTAAGACAGGTTGTAAAATATGATCTTGGAATGATAATGTGGTAAGTATTGAAGAGTTGTTTATTATAAAGCATGA